CCAGCTGGTGACTCTTTCAGCTGAAGTATTTTGCCCGCTAGGTTTCTCACCAGGCATCATTCTAGAGTCCCCATGACCTTAGGGTGGGATTGCATGGCTTTCATTGAATTACCTGCTGTGTGACTGTAGCCAAGTTGCTTAACCTACCTGTGCCTCTTTTTTTCACCTGTAAACAATAATGTGGGATAATAACACCCCTGCCTCCTACAGGGTTGCTGTGATGATAAAATGAGGATGTGTGTTACATGCCTCTTACGTGGTAAGACTTAAACATCTTTGCTGTTATTCCTTTCATAACTTTGATAGTTCAGTGAGTCCTCACTTAACGTCGTCCTTAGGTTCTTGGGAATTATGACCTACAGCAAGCCCTTGAATAATGTTGTTTCATTAAAATGTTGACGAGAACAAAAAATTGGTTTCACTATGTATCTTTTCACTTAAACCAGAGGATGGAATCCCTCTGTGAAATTACAGTGTCTTTGGAGAAAAATCATCTTATATATGAGTTATGTTTGTATATTTTTACCTGGTCTTTTCCCAAAAAGATTTCAGGTGACAGAAGAATACAAACCAATGTGATAATCACTTTTTTTTATTTTTTGAGATGGAGTCTCTCTCTCTGTTGCCCAGGTTGGAGTGCAGTGCCACCATCTCGGCTCACTGTACCCTCCACCTCCCAGGTTCAAGTGATTCTCCTCCCTTAGCCTCCTAAGTAGCTGGAATTACAGGTGCTCGCCACAATGCCTGGGTAATTTTTTTTTGGGGGGGGGTTGTATTTTTAGTAGGGATGGGGGTTTCACCATGTTGGTCACACTGGTCTTGAACCCCTGGCCTCAAGTGATCCGCCTGCCTCGGCCTCCCAAAGTGCTGGGATTGCAGGCATGAGCCACTGCATCTGGCCAATAATCCTAATAAAAATGTGGACTAAGAAAGCCAGACCAAGGACTGAGGACCGTCCCAGAAGAGAACAGCAGCTACCCCGTGCTTGCCTTCATGCTGGGAAGGCTGTAGGTCTGACTTTAGGAGGAGGCTGTGTAGGGTACAAGGGGCAGCATCAGTGCCACAGCTGGCGACAGCCCTACAGCAGGCGGCAGCCCACGCCCCGTGGGTGCACACCTTCGTCCAACTCAGGGCTGGCAGTCATGAGGATGAAATGCCATCCACGTCAAGGGTCGGTCTCTCTCCTACCCACCAAAGACCCCGTAGTCCCTCCTCTAAGGGAGGCGCTGAAGTGCTGAGAACTTGCTTCCCACCAAGGCAGGCTTGGGCTTCAAAAGATCAGAACCTGACCTGAGCGGCCCTCGTTTTCCACCATCCCACCAGCGCTTCAGAAGTCCTGCCAGCATCAAGCCAGGCACAAGGCAGTCTAGACAGCTCATCCCTGCCCTGGGGAGAGACATGCACATCACAAACCTGTGAGGCTCAACACCGCATCCTGCAGGATGCAGGGTCTCTGCCGACGCAGCTTTGGGAGGTTGCAGTGGAAGAGGCAGGCGTGGCCAATTCAGACCCTGAAGGATGACTTAGGTGGAGTGCGGGGAAGGAAGGTGGTCTGGATAGACGTGCAGGACGTTGGGTGGAGGGCAGGGGTGCGGGGGAGCCTCCCTGTGTTCCTTAGCCGGAGGCCACCACCTGGCTGTAGGCGGCAGCTTCTCCTGCCGGCTGGGGGACTGCAGGCAGTTCTCAGCATTGAGTCCAAGATCACTTCCATTCTGGGGACTCGAAGGTGGTTGTGTATATTGTGCTTCATCTCTCAGGGATGAGTCCTTAATTAAAAGCAGCCAGGCAGCTTAGAGAGACCCTGGCTTCTCTGCACACAGGTGATGGGTTGTGCGCCTGGCCAGGAAACGGTTAATTTAATTAGGCTCCCAGGGCCTGGTTCATCCCCTTCAGGGAAGCTTAAGGTTACATGTGGACAACAGGAGCCTTGTGTGTGACTGTGGTTGACCCAAATATAGTGATTTTCATTTCTCCTTTCCATTTGTCTTCTTTGTTCTGCCCCTTCCTGACCCTTTCTTTAGGAAACTGTTGTGGCCCCTTCCAGGCTGCGAGCTTCCAGAGGGCAAAGCTTTGGGGTCTGGAGTATGAATGGCTGCAAGCGAGCCCAGGAGGCCTGCTTTTGTTTATTATTTATCTCCGGATGGTCAGGGCACCTGTCTGAGAAAAGAAAGAGATGGAGGGGACTTACCATTTCCTGAAAAAACTCTTTGTTGTTAATGGCATGTGGAAGACTCATTTCTAAGTAGAATAAATCATTTGTTGGTCAAAAATGATTTCCTAATGTTGGCCCTCTTGGCCAGCCTCAGTTACATTAAACCTTAGGTAACCAACCACAACCTCCGCCTCGAGTCGTGTGCCTCATATGAGCGGGTACAGATGCTGCTGCACCTTCGAAGGGGTTACATGCTGGAAAACCCATTGGAAGTAGAAAATGCTTTTAATCCCCCTAACCTGCCAAGCACCATGGCTTCAGCTGGCTGACCCTAAACGTGCTCAGAACATGCCTACGGTTTGGTGAAAGCACCTGGCGCGCAGTGGCTGTAGAGTGTCATCACTCACCTTTGTGATCACGGGGCTGGTGGGGAGCTGCGGGAGCTGCTGTCTCCCTGCGTCATGAGGGAGGATTGGACCGTGCATTGCTAGCCCAGGAAAAGATAAAACTCAGACTACAGCTTCTACTGAATACCATCGCAAAGTCAAACAAATCTTAAGTCGGAAACATCTGTGTTACTCCACCAGATGTGCTGCATGTACCATTATCTCAACTCTGTGGTGCGTGACTTGCTCACTTTTTTTTTTTTTTTAGATTTGTTTTGTTTTGTTTTGTATTTTGAGAGAGTCTTTCTCTGTCACCCAAACTGAAGTGCTGTGGCACAATCTCAGCTCGCTGCAACCTACGCCTCCCGGGTTCAAGCAATTCTGCTTCAGCCTCCCAAGTAGCTGAGATTACAGGCATGCGCCACCACGCCCGGCTAATTTTTGTATTTTTAGTAGAAACGGGGTTTCACTATATTGGCCAGGTTGGTCTTGAACTCCTGACCTCAGGTGATCCGCCCACCTCGGCCTCCCAAAGTGCTGGGATTACAGGTATGAGCCACTGTGCCCAGCTATCACTCACGTTTTAATGTTGCCAAAATTGGGAAATTACTTCTTAAACTTAATGTGTACACTTAGTGATGTTATAATTACTGGTGCATCTTACAACTTACAACCTTCACAGGAAGAAAGCAGGCTGTGCTTGCACTTAAAGAATATGGCTCTTGGCCAGGCAAGGTGATTCATGCCTGTAATCCCAGCAGTTTGGGAGGCCAAGGCGGACGGATCACCTGAGACCAGCCTGGCCAACATGGTGAAACCCCATCTCTATTAAAAATATAAAAACTAGCTGGGCATAGTGGTGCACACTTATAATCCCAGCTACTCGTGAGGCTGAGGCAGGAGAATCGCTTAAACCTGGCAGGCGGAGGTTGCAGTGAGCTGAGATCGCGCCACTGCCCTCCAGCCTGGGCAACAGAGTGAGACTCCATCTCAAAAACAAAACAACAAAAAAATAAGGCCCTCAGCGCCAAGGGACTGCTTAAAGAGGAGAGGGGCTGGAACTGGAAGAGTCCCCCTTGTGTGTGGCCCTGGCAGGCGAGGGGCCCGTTTCTCACCAGGCTCTGCTGGGTGGTAGGCACTGAGCCCCTGCCCATACTCCAGGAGTCCCCGAGGCCCAGAGTGGAAAGGTCACATGTTGGATCTGCTGTGGGCTGTGGTGAGGCGGCAGGAGAGCCCAGCCCTGCAGCCCTTCCCAGGCGACCCTGGGCACCTTGGGTCTGCCGTGACTGGGCCCTTGGGGGAGAAAGCTTTGGTCCTCACAGTCCCATAGTTCCCCCGATTCTGTTCTTTTTTCCTCCCCTGTCCCCTGAGCTTGACTGGGAATGGGGGTAGCTCGCCTTGTTGACCTGGTGGGGCTTGGTCTTTGGAAGAGCTGGGTCAGTCTCAAATTGAGATTCTCGTTCCTCTCCACCTCATGTTGGCTGGGACAGCCGGGACCAGCAGCTTCCCCGTGCTTGGGTTTTCTTATCCGCAGGTGAGGGTGCCCTCAGTCCTGTCTCTGAATAGGTGAGCCATACCCTAGCTCACGTGGCTGTTATCCTAAGGAGAGATGTTTTGATGCTTCCTGGAGTGAGCAGGAGCCTGTGGGGCTACCCTCTGGTTACTCAGGGGCACCACTTGCCTGAGTCTCCGGGAGCACAGCTGCTTCCCATCCAAAACAAGCTTGACCACCTGGGTGTGACTTTCAGGCCCGGTGCAAAGCTGCTGCCTGTGAAGGTGCCTTCTCATTGCAGGGGTGGCCATGCTTAGAGAGCCATTAGGCAAAATGGGTTGGAAGCTCTAGCCTCAGCTACACGAAGCTGTGCTTCCGTGGGTCAGTGTTCCTAATGGCAAACTGAGGTCCCTGTAACGAAGCTGCCCTTGGGGAGTTGGGGAGCGGGCTTATGTCTTCTCCACACTGAGCAGTGGTGGTGGGGTGGAGATCCCTGCATCTCTCATAGGCTGGTGGAGGCCACGTGTCCACCTGGACAGACCGGTGAAGGGAGCCCCACTGAAGGGGTCCTGACCTGGAGGCCATCTCCCTAGGTGAGGGCAGCTAACCTGCAGGCCCTCACTGGGAGGCCTTTCCCAGCTTGTGCTCTGTACCTTTTTGAATTCTGACCTATATGAATGTATTACCTATTATACGTAAGTAAACACTTTTTTTTCTTGAGTCAGGTTCTTATTCTGTCACTCAGGCTGGAGTACTGTGGTGCAAACACGGCTCTCTGCAGCCTCGACCTCCCGGGTTCAAACAATCCTCCTACCTTAGCATCCTGAGTAGCTGGGACTACAGGCACACGTCACCGTGCCTGGCTATTTTTATTATTATTATTATTTTAGTAGAGACAAGGTCTGGCTATGTTGCCCAGGCTGGGCTCGAACTCCTGAGCTCAAGTGAGCCACCGCACCTGGCCTTTTTTTTTAATTCTTAAGAAAAGCAGTGTGCCAGGGCCTGCCCTTGCACTTAGAGTGGACTAGGAGGTGCTCCCTTGCTGGGTCTCACTCCAGCCGCGCTTTGCTCCTCTCTGTTCTTGCACTTGCCTCAGTGGCCTCTGCAGCAGAGCCTCATGCTGGCCCTTCCCTCTGCTTGGGATGCCCCTGTTATTTTTCCCTGCAGTCTTGGAGGGCTGGTTCATTGGTCATTATTCACATGTCATCTCTGTCCCACCTCGTAGACTGCTGACTCCCCCCGTGGCATCCTACTTCCGTCGTGTCCTGCAGGTTTGCTTCCTACCTTTGCCTCTTTTTTTTTTCTTGAGACAGTCTCTCTGTGTTGCTCAGGCTACAGTGCAGTGGCACAATGTCGGCTCACTGCAACCTCCACCTCCCAGGTTCAGGCGATTCTCCTGCCTCAGCCTCCTGAGTAGCTGGGACTACAGGCACACATCACCACACCTGGCTAATTTTTGTATTTTTTTAGTAGAGACAGCGTTTTGTCATATTGGCCAGGCTGGTCTCGAACTCCTGAACTCAAGTGATCCACCCTCCTCAGCCTCCCAAAGTGCTGGGTTCACAGGCGTGAGCCACCGCGCCCAGCCTACCCTTACCTCTTGGGGACGCCTCTGTGGCTGGACTTTGCTGTGAGAGCAGGGCCGCCCATGTCCATCTCTTCCCGTGCTGAGCCCTTGCACCTGACACGGGCCTGGAGCTGGCATTCGGGGTTTATGGAACAGCATGAATTTCTCCTTGACGTGAGTGTCGTAACCCCCAGTTCCAGAGACTTGGGAAGGTTATGCTCAGCCAGCAAGTGACCGACCCAGGATTTGAGGCCGTTTGGTTTCAAGGTTGGTGTTTTTACCGAATGCCACGCTGTATATTCTGCTTCTGACACTAGTGTGCGTGCCACTTGAAACCACTTTTATCTTTTTAAGAGTTTTGGGCCTTCTGCAAAAATAAAAGGAACAAATTGTCACAGAGCCCTCTGCTGGACGTCGGCAGCTGTGGCATCCTGGTGGTTTCCTCTGAGCGCACCCGAGTACGCAGAGTCTGTTTTTGATTCCTATCTCGCTGGTGGTGGGCTCTCGGCCAACAGGCAGATCAAAAGATGGAATGTGTTCATTTGGCCATTTTTTAAAAAACTGAGGTACAAGGGTGCACTTCTTAAAGACAAGGGCGCCGTGGGTTAGACTCCATGGGTCTGAGCTGGTCTGGCTTTTGTGCTTTTTTTAAGGGTTCATCTCAAGTTTCTTTTTCTGGTTGAACAATTTTTTTCAACATTAATAACTAATGGAGAAGAGGAAGAGGCAAAAGTAGAACCATATGGCGGCATAAACACGAACCTCACTTGTGGCCGGAAACTTCTGATTTGTATCTCTTCGTGTGATCAGCTGTTGGGTTGGGTGATTTGAGAAAAAAAAAAAAAAAAGGGTTCAGTTTGGGCAAAAGCAAGAATGTCTTTCGTTTCTTTTTCAACCTAACCGTGCTGGGTCTGCATGTCCTTCCTCGGACATTGGCCCCTAGCTGCGTGGCTCTGGTCAAGTTATTTCTCTAAGACCCTTTTTCCCCTTTCTTTAAAACAAGGACGGGAGCGCATGTCTGCGTGGAGAGCAGTTTTCAAGATCATGGGGCAGGGCAGGGGGAGCGGCTAGCATAGTGCCCACCTTGCAGGACAGGGCTGTTACGATTACCTGGTCCTTCTACAGATTATTATTCAGGTGTCACCTGAGGCCACTGCTAATAGCGTCCTAGTCTCTCCCTTACCTTCTACCTTCTGGGGGTTTTTCTTCTCCCTGCCCTGGTTCACTTTACCCACTCCCTACCCATCTTTCCAGTGGCCCCCGGGTACCACTGAGCCCGGCGAAAGTCTCGGTGGTGAAGGACTTGCGGCTCCTGCTCCCCGGGGTGGGCACACTCCTGTGGCAGCAGAGGAAGTGGTGGAGCCCTGAACTCCCCGCCAGAAAGACGGCAGGCACCGTCCTGACCAGTGTAGTGTTTATTATTCCAAGTCACTGGGAATTATGTTTAAATCCCCCCAACAGCCTGGATTGGTCTGACACCTTTGGTGTTATCTGAACGTCCCCCTCCAAGGCTGTTAGGCAGTTCAGATGGGTGGTTTAGACAGAAACCATCCGGCTGCTGCATGTCGGCACCACTCCTCCTCCTCAGAGGCCCTCCCTGGCTTTGGAGGCGACAGAGCCGGTGCCACATGCACCCCAAAGTGAACTCTCGGCTTTGTTTGGACCTGTCGTTTCATTTAAATCGCTGTACAAACCCATGGCCCGTGACACTTAATGTGATTTCTTCCACTGCTGTAAGCACTCGACATGAGTAGGGGGCGGGGGCCGGGGTTCAGATGAGCGTAGGGACTGGTTAGATTACCGAGATACACTGTTTTTATTCTGGTTCTGTAATATGACCTCAGACCACAGGATTAATATCCACTTACATAGAATCAGCATGCATTGAACGATCCCTGCTGCCGCGGGCGTGATGCTGCGCTGAGACTGAAGGGCCTGTCTTGGCCTCTGTAGGTGTAGAGTCAATTCAGAGTGAAAAATGCTAAGTGGTAAGGAAGGAGTAAGGTGAAAGCCATTGACAGTATTAGAACAGCCATCCTCAAAGCATTTAGGATTCAGTCGATATTAGTGCTACTGCAGGAATTCTGAAGAATTTGACATCTTGATAAAGAAGTTGGAGTTTGGGCCAGGCCCTGAAGGATCAGTAAGATTTAAGAGAGCAGTGGGGATTGGCTGTCAGATTTAGCAAATAAAAATACATGACCTGGCCAGGCGCGGTGGCGCACGCCTGTAATCCTAGCACTTTGGGAGGCTGAGGCAGGCGGATCATGAGGTCAGGAGATCGAGACCATCCTGGCTAACATGGTGAAACCCCTTCTCTACTGAAAACACAAAAATTAGCTGGGAGTGGTGGCACGCGCCTGTAATCATAGCTACTTAGAAGGCTGAGGCAGGAGAAGGGGATGAACCTGGGAGGCAGAGCTTGCGGTGAGCCGAGATCGCGCCACTGCACTCCAGCCTGGGCGACAGAGCGAGACTCCATCTCAAAATAAAAAGAAAAAAGAAAAAAAATACATGACCTGGCCAGGCGCAGTGGCTCATGCCCGTAATCCTAGCACCTTGGGAGCTTGAGATGGGTAGATCATGTGAGGTCAGGAGTTCAAGACCAGCCTGGCCAACATGATGAAACTCTGTCTCTACTAAAAATACAAAAATTAGCCAGGCATGGTGGCATGCACCTGTAGTCCCAGCTACTGGGGAGGCTGAGGGAAGAAGATCACTTGAACCCGGGAAGCGGAGGTTGTAGTGAGCCGAGATCACACCACTGCACTCCAGCCTGGGTGACAGAGCTGGACTCCATCTCATTGAGGAAAAAAAAAACACACATGACCCATGTAACCTTTAGGAAGTATTCATACTAAAATGTTATTCATTGTATATCTAAAATTCAGATTGAACTAGCCTTTCTCTATTTTACCCAGCAGCCCTCAATGGGGAAGATGTTTAAGTGGAGGAATGCACATGCATGTTCAGGGAGTGGTGAATGGGACCGTGTGGTTGTTTGAGGATGTTAGGGCAGAGGCAGAGAGATGGCGTGGGTATGAGATGGGATCAGTGGTGGTGCCAGGTCATGACTCATGCACCTTTGGGTGGCTGCTGTGGTCCAAGTCTATGGACACACCATGCATTATTCCACACTTCTCATTTCCCATGACAACGAAAATGTTACTATTCCAGAGCAGATTGTCTTTCATCAAAAGAAACAGGGCTGATGGAAATACGGCCAAAACTATGGCCCAATTTGCGAGTTGTTCCAAAAGGCAAAAACGGTGTCTGCTTGGGTGAAATCAGTTAACCGTACCAAGTCCCAGATGCTTTTCACTGTAGGACAAGCAGTGCCAGTGTTTTAGTTCCAGTTTAAATATATGTTTTTCTGGGGCTGGTTAGTACCTGGCATACTGGCTTTCAGAAGTCCTGTCACAGATCTTCAAGGGTGGTCTGTCTCCGTGCAGCTCATCTACTGTGTTTGACAAATGAACCATCTTGGTCGTTGCCTAAGGTTCCGTGGCCAGCTCACAGCAGAGCAGAGGCTAGAACCCAGGTCTCTTAGTTCTCACTCTTTCCACCATTGCTGTGGCTCCTTGAGGTCATATGTTAATAAAAATGCCAGGGCTTTCATGACAGCTCCGGTTCTCTTTGTTCAGTGCTTTCCTACCACACCATGGTTCGTATCTGAGAATGCTGGGTTGGAACCACACGTGAAGCTTGTCATCAGCATCCATTCAAATTTAGTTCTGGACAAGTGCTTTTGCTAAAGATTCCTATTACCTGCCAATTTATTAATTTAAAAATAAAGTTGATGGGAGTTTGGAAGGCTCCATGTTGTAAAACTCTCTTTTCCTCCCTCCTTTCTTTCCTTCCTCCCAAATATATTAAGCATTTACTGTGTGTCAGGCACAGCTACAGGCACTGAGAATCCCGCAGTGAATAAGATTGAAGTCCTTGCCCCAGTAAAACTTACATTCTAGTGAGGGATACAGACAACTGGTCAATGAAAAAATATTCCACCTGGTGTTAAGTGCTAGGAAGAAATTACTCAGATGCTTTTGATTCATAGATGAATCTCTTGGATAGGAGTAGAGTCAAGCCTCTTTTATACCAGACCCCATTTTCTTGTGAGCTTTCCTATGTTGCGGCGACTTGGCTGCAAGCAGTGTTTCTGGCGGGAGAAGGGAAGCAGCTGGCTGCAGGCGGAACTGGGGTGAAGCACCGGATCCTCACAAGTACGTGTGTACCCCGTGCCTGAAGCAGCACAGTGAATTCAGGTGTGATCCAGGCTGGTGTTGTTATCTGAGAGTAACAGGTGACAGATGATACTGTCTAAAGGAAGGGAGAGGAGTATGTCAGTCTGAATATGTCAGAGACTGAGTATGTCAGTCAGTAACATACGTGCATTTCCCTGTGCCAGCTCTGCCCTGAACACTGAATGCATTATCTCATGTGACTCCTCAAAATCATATGGGGATGGGCACCCAGATGGGTTGGTTTTGTTATCTCCATTTTACAAGTATGGAAACCAAATCTTAGTAGAGAAGTAAAATGACTTACCCAGGCCATAAAGCTACTTGTACGCAGTGGAGTCAGAAAGTCTAACTTCAGACCCTATTTGCTCAGTCTCTACTGTAATTGAGGAAAAATTGGGCTGATGGTGTCAGGACTCCAACCAGACAGAATGGGTTCCAGGCAAAAGTTGAGGCCCAACAGATAAGCCAAGGCAACAGCCCAGTATTATAAATGGAGGAGATTAGGGACAGGAGTGATGTGTTAGGCAAGGTGGCTTCACTGGCTGTGGCAGCACAGCAGGGCCCCTTCCAGGTCCCAGATGGGCTTGGGTGGAAGCTGTTAGAGCTTCCTTCCTCAGCCAGGACTTCCTTCCAGGTGAAGGGCTCTGTGGCCACAGCTGAGCAGGACTGGGGCTAGGAGAGGGCGCTTTGCCACCATAGGGTGCCTTTGGCATGCACTGTCCTTCCCGTTAGCTGGACAGTAAACCAAAGTTAGAAGGGGAGGAGTAGGGAGTTTGGACTCATCTGGCCCTGGTTTTGTTTTCTGTGTTCACTGCTTGCTTCTTGTGTGGCCCTTGGGTAACTTAATGACTCCTGGCCTCAACTCTAATCTATAAAATGGGGCTTTGCATAGCCACTTTGCAGAATGCATGTGAGCTTTCAAGTCAACAATATGCTCTCTATAAAGGGCCTACCATAGTGCGTGGTGCATGACAGGCACATGGAAATGGTAAGGGGCCTGATATTATCACCAAAACCAACTTTGAAAGTAACCCCCAATTTTATTATGTTTGTTTGGAAAGGGCAGATACACATGGAGAGAATTCTGAAAACAAGCACAGGTACAGGCCAGGCCTGGGGGCTCACACCTTTAAGCCCAGCACATTGTACACAGGGGTTGGTGGTGTATGTCTGTCTCTTTGGGTGCTGTCCCCTATACAAGAAACAGATCATCTCACCAAGGCCACAATTTCTGTGAGTCACGAGGCAGGTTTACAGTCCTTTAGTTGTGCTGGACATTGCTTTCCAAGCTGAGTTCTGAGGCACCCTGGAGGGGCAGCGGAGGAGCCCATGGAGGCTGGGTGGTCCCTGTGGTGGTGGGACTCCATGTCCCTGCCTGTCTCTTGGATGGTGGCAAGGGTCTTCTGGAAGAACACAGGAACCACTGTCACTGTCATCCCATCTACTGAGCTGCTCTGCTGCCGTCTTTGCCATACAATTTAACTTTTCCATTGGGAAGGGTTATTGGTGCAGTTGGCAGGCGCTTTCCTGGTAAATGATACGGTGGGGCCCCCATAAACCCAGGCCCATGAAACAAATAAGTCAGCACATTGAAAATATAGCATGGAAGTGACTCAAGCCTGAAGGAATCCATTTCTGAAAGTGCTGCCATCCCTGTCTGGGAGATTTTGGTAGAAATTGATGTTTGAGTTGGGAGGAGGAGGCCAGTGGCCTGGTTACTTGCAGAGCCTTGTGTCAGAGTCGCAGCATTGACCCAGAGTCTGAGTCCTGCCAGCCCCCAACCACAGGGTCATCCTTCTTGGTGAGGCAGCCCCCTGGCCGGCCAGCCGGGGTGGAGCCCACTGGGGCTCCGTGCTGTGGGAGCCAGGGTGAAGCTGTCTTTGCAGCAGATAGAGTTGACTCTACAAGCCAACTGGTAACACTTGGCTAGGGGCCTGGAAAGTATTGGAGACTCCACCCAGCATGGGAGCCTGTGGGAGTTCCCTGGCACGGACGAGTTATTCTACTCCGAGTTCTTTAGATTCCTGTGTATTTGAAATGTTGACCTTCTTCTCGGGACTTGAGCTTGTACTTTGCCCACCAGAGACCAATACCAAGCACATACACACTGAAATTTACTAGGCCACCCTGGTGACCAGGTCGTTAAAGCTGCACACAGTTTTTGGAAGGAAGACCGTATTGGAAATCACGCTCCGCTGTAATTCAAGAACGGGTTTCTTAATAGAGGGACACAGTTGGTGTCAGACACATGTGGAAAAGAAAAGAACAGGCCCATAATTTTGGCTCAGTACCCAGGGCCAGATGTTAAAGGTACTGACCATGATATAGCTGCAGTATTGTTAGCCACCTGAGTTTGGTGTGCTATTTTAACCTCTGTTTCGACCTTGTCCTTTCTCTCTGCCAGGTCCCCAGTCTATGTGAGGATCTCCTGTCTTCTGTTGACCAGCCACTGAAAATTGCCAGAGACAAGGTGGTGGGAAAGGATTACCTTTTGTGTGACTACAACAGAGATGGGGACTCCTATAGGTGAGCTCATGCCCCGGGTATGCAGCAGGCACACCAGCCACATGCGGGCTGCTGTAGGTGCCTGCTGCAGAGCACGTGGACCTTGGACTTGGGCAGCTGGCAGCCCGTTGGCTGCCCTCCTCTCCTTTCTTCTCTTGTCCTCCCCATCCTTCTCCTCCTTCCATCTGTTATTCCAGTCATGCAGCGGATGTGTGAGGAGTGCCACCCACAAGCATGGGAGATAGAGCAGTGGACAAAAGGCCCCCTGCCTTTATGGATCTTCCAATGTAATAGGAGAGGGATGTTGTTCCCGAAAACAGCTGTTCTGTTATAATTGCGTTCAGGCCTGCAAAGGGCAGCGTACAGAGTGTGCCTATGATGGGGATCCTGAGGGCAGGGAGGGTCTCTGTGGTTAAGGGATCTACGAACGCAGCTCTGTCAGATACGCAGTTCTCTTCTCTCTTTCCGTCACCTCGCCCAAGGCTGTAAATAACTAAGTTGACATTAGTCCCTGCCCTGGGTGTCTGATCACCAGGTCTAGCATAGGAGACACATTGGGTAACTGATAACTGTACGATGTGATTCATACAGCCAGTGCAAAGTCTGTTCAGGATGGGAGAGTAGCACAGAAGAGGCCGTGGTCAACTCCAGGAGGACTTCCTGAAGGAGGTGATGTCTGAGCTGGGTTTTAAGAGCATGTAGGAGTTATACCTGTTTTTCAAGAGTGAGAATTCTTAAACTAGCCCAGTGTTTCCATGATGAATGCAGTAGTCACTGCCTTGGAGAACAGTAGAGGAACACAGCCTGCTTTAGGTTTATTTGGCGGCCACAGAACCAGGGCTGTCTTGAAGCTTCACCCTAATGCTCTCTTTGGAGACGGGGCAACGCTTCTGGGAAGTCAAAGCAGAAAAAATGATCAGGAGTCAGCCAGTGTGGGCTTCAAACCAGCACAGCTCCCTGTGTCAGTGGGACTTTGACAAATCACTTCTTGTTGCTGGTCTTTTAGTTTTGTCATCTGTAAAATGGAAATGATAGTATTTGTTTACTCACAACAATATGCTCTCTATAAAGGGCCTACCATAGTGCGTGGTGCATGACAGGCACATGGAAATGGTAAGGGGCCTGATATTATCACCAAAACCAACTTTGAAAGTAACCCCCAATTTTATTATGTTTGTTTGGAAAGGGCAGATACACATGGAGAGAATTCTGAAAACAAGCACAGGTACAGGCCAGGCCTGGGGGCTCACACCTTTAAGCCCAGCACATTGTACACAGGGGTTGGTGGTGTATGTCTGTCTCTTTGGGTGCTGTCCCCTATACAAGAAACAGATCATCTCACCAAGGCCACAATTTCTGTGAGTCACGAGGCAGGTTTACAGTCCTTTAGTTGTGCTGGACATTGCTTTCCAAGCTGAGTTCTGAGGCACCCTGGAGGGGCAGCGGAGGAGCCCATGGAGGCTGGGTGGTCCCTGTGGTGGTGGGACTCCCTGTCCCTGCCTGTCTCTTGGATGGTGGCAAGGGTCTTCTGGAAGAACACAGGAACCACTGTCACTGTCATCCCATCTACTGAGCTGCTCTGCTGCCGTCTTTGCCATACAATTTAACTTTTCCATTGGGAAGGGTTATTGGTGCAGTTGGCAGGCGCTTTCCTGGTAAATGATACGGTGGGGCCCCCATAAACCCAGGCCCATGAAACAAATAAGTCAGCACATTGAAAATATAGCATGGAAGTGACTCAAGCCTGAAGGAATCCATTTCTGAAAGTGCTGCCATCCCTGTCTGGGAGATTTTGGTAGAAATTGATGTTTGAGTTGGGAGGAGGAGGCCAGTGGCCTGGTTACTTGCAGAGCCTTGTGTCAGAGTCGCAGCATTGACCCAGAGTCTGAGTCCTGCCAGCCCCCAACCACAGGGTCATCCTTCTTGGTGAGGCAGCCCCCTGGCCGGCCAGCCGGGGTGGAGCCCACTGGGGCTCCGTGCTGTGGGAGCCAGGGTGAAGCTGTCTTTGCAGCAGATAGAGTTGACTCTACAAGCCAACTGGTAACACTTGGCTAGGGGCCTGGAAAGTATTGGAGACTCCACCCAGCATGGGAGCCTGTGGGAGTTCCCTGGCACGGACGAGTTATTCTACTCCGAGTTCTTTAGATTCCTGTGTATTTGAAATGTTGACCTTCTTCTCGGGACTTGAGCTTGTACTTTGCCCACCAGAGACCAATACCAAGCACATACACACTGAAATTTACTAGGCCACCCTGGTGACCAGGTCGTTAAAGCTGCACACAGTTTTTGGAAGGAAGACCGTATTGGAAATCACGCTCCGCTGTAATTCAAGAACGGGTTTCTTAATAGAGGGACACAGTTGGTGTCAGACACATGTGGAAAAGAAAAGAACAGGCCCATAATTTTGGCTCAGTACCCAGGGCCAGATGTTAAAGGTACTGACCATGATATAGCTGCAGTATTGTTAGCCACCTGAGTTTGGTGTGCTATTTTAACCTCTGTTTCGACCTTGTCCTTTCTCTCTGCCAGGTCCCCAGTCTATGTGAGGATCTCCTGTCTTCTGTTGACCAGCCACTGAAAATTGCCAGAGACAAGGTGGTGGGAAAGGATTACCTTTTGTGTGACTACAACAGAGATGGGGACTCCTATAGGTGAGCTCATGCCCCGGGTATGCAGCAGGCACACCAGCCACATGCGGGCTGCTGTAGGTGCCTGCTGCAGAGCACGTGGACCTTGGACTTGGGCAGCTGGCAGCCCGTTGGCTGCCCTCCTCTCCTTTCTTCTCTTGTCCTCCCCATCCTTCTCCTCCTTCCATCTGTTATTCCAGTCATGCAGCGGATGTGTGAGGAGTGCCACCCACAAGCATGGGAGATAGAGCAGTGGACAAAAGGCCCCCTGCCTTTATGGATCTTCCAATGTAATAGGAGAGGGATGTTGTTCCCGAAAACAGCTGTTCTGTTATAATTGCGTTCAGGCCTGCAAAGGGCAGCGTACAGAGTGTGCCTATGATGGGGATCCTGAGGGCAGGGAGGGTCTCTGTGGTTAAGGGATCTACGAACGCAGCTCTGTCAGATACGCAGTTCTCTTCTCTCTTTCCGTCACCTCGCCCAAGGCTGTAAATAACTAAGTTGACATTAGTCCCTGCCCTGGGTGTCTGATCACCAGGTCTAGCATAGGAGACACATTGGGTAACTGATAACTGTACGATGTGATTCATACAGCCAGTGCAAAGTCTGTTCAGGATGGGAGAGTAGCACAGAAGAGGCCGTGGTCAACTCCAGGAGGACTTCCTGAAGGAGGTGATGTCTGAGCTGGGTTTTAAGAGCATGTAGGAGTTATACCTGTTTTTCAAGAGTGAGAATTCTTAAACTAGCCCAGTGTTTCCATGATGAATGCAGTAGTCACTGCCTTGGAGAACAGTAGAGGAACACAGCCTGCTTTAGGTTTATTTGGCGGCCACAGAACCAGGGCTGTCTTGAAGCTTCACCCTAATGCTCTCTTTGGAGACGGGGCAACGCTTCTGGGAAGTCAAAGCAGAAAAAATGATCAGGAGTCAGCCAGTGTGGGCTTCAAACCAGCACAGCTCCCTGTGTCAGTGGGACTTTGACAAATCACTTCTTGTTGCTGGTCTTTTAGTTTTGTCATCTGTAAAATGGAAATGATAGTATTTGTTTACTCAACAGAATGCTTCCTAAAGAAAATAAAGAGGACAGTGGGAGAGTGGGAGAGGACAGGCAGGCAGGGAAGGCTCTCCCACAAGTGGGAACTGGAGGATGAAAAGGTCCAGGTCTGGGGAAGAGCCTGCTGGGTGCTGAGGCCCTGGGTGATGAGCTCGCCAGGATGGAGCTGGCAGAAGGCCAGAGGTGGAGAAGGCAGTGAGGGGAGGGCGGTGGGGGCGGAGATGAGGGAGGAGGCATGGCCAGGGCAGGTCTGGCAGGGTCTTGAAGCCCAGGCTGAGGGTGATAAAAGTTAGCACAGGGTTGTTTATTGGGGGATAAAAGAAGTAACACACATGAAATGTTGAATGGCACAGACCTTGTCATATATGTAAAAAGTTTAATACTGACTTATAAGAGACTAGACAAGTTTTATAATCATGTCCCTTTCCTAGCTTCAAACGGAAATTAGGTAGAGAATATATTTTGCCCTCCTTCAGACCACAGACTAAAGTTGAAATGGTGAGAAGTGGTGAGATTTGAGGTCACTTTTAAAGGTAGAGCCAGCGGCATCTGCAGGTGGGTGGGGATGGAAGGAGAGGAGGTGGGGTGTGAAGGGTGATCACAAGGCTTCAGAACTGAGCCACTGTTGATTGAGATGAGGAGGACTCAGGGAGGAGCTGGCATAGGGACACGTGAAGCTTGAGAGGCCCATTAGATCAACGTGGAGATACCAGGTAGGCTGTGGATGTACCACGTGGAGTTCCAGGAGAGAGGTCTCGGCTGGGGATGTGGCTGCAGATGTCACAGCATATAGGTGGTGATACAGCCCTGAGGCTGGTCAAGTTCATCCTTGAAGGGCTTGTTCTGTGCCTGGAACTGCTGGTCACGGGCACGGCATCCAGGTATTGTGCTTCTTGGGAGCATCTTGCTTTGTCGCCCAGGCTGGAGTGCAGTGGTGCAAACGTGGCCCACTGCACAGGACCATAGGCATGTACCACCATGCCCAGCGATTTTTTTTTTTTTTTTTTTTTTGAGACAGAGTCTCACTCTATTGCCCAGGTTGGAGTGCAGTGGCACGATCTCAGCTCACTGCAACCTCTGTCTCCTGGGTTCAAGCGGATTCTCCTGCCTCAGCCTCCCAAGTAGCTGGGATTACAGGTGTGCGCCATCACGCCCAGCTAGTTTTTGTATTTTCAGTACAGACAGGGTTTCACCACGTTGACCAGGCTGGTCCTGAACTCCTGACCTCAAGTGATCCTCCTGCCTTGGCTTCCCAAAATTTTGGGATTATAGGCATGAGCCACTGCGCCCAGCCCCAGCTAATTTTTTGACGTTTTTTCTTTCTTTCTTTCTTTTTTTTTTTTTTGTAGAGATGGGAGCCTCACTTGTTGCCCAGGCTGGCCTCGAACTCCTAGGTTCAAGCAGTCCTCCCACTTCAGCTTCTCAAATTGCTAGGATTACAGGTGTGAGCCACATTGCCCAGCCAGGGAGCCACTGATGAGGTGGGTAGACCGGACCAGCCCTTAGAGTAGTCCAGTGAAGGTAGAGAGTGGTCTGACAGACCAGGGAGCAAGCAGGGAGGAGTATTCGCACCCGGCATGCAATTCAGGGAACACTTCGGGGAGAAGGTGGTCCTTGAACTGGTCTTACTTAATCAACATCATTATTATATTTATTATTTGCACCTAAAAACTCCAGTTTACTGTGTAAGGCAGCTCTTCTGTAGCAGCTGGTAGAAGGACGGGATCATGTCTAGGTCCGTGGCCAGGCCAGGCTCTGAGGGCAACTTGGTACCTGCAGCCCTTCCAGGTCACCCCTTTATCCTCCACCTGCATTCCTGAGGCCCCACCACTGGCTCTGGGGGATCTCAGGCCTTTCGAGAGGAGCCTGGGGTGTGGAGGCAGAAAGTATGTCTTTCCTTTCTCCTCTTCTCGATATGAAACTTCAAGGTCTTCTGATTCTCTCCACAGATTTCCATCCTGACTGTTTTTGATGGTTTACTTAAATAAGATCCTTATGGTGTGACCGTTGCCAGCAGCACCGTTTGAAACCTGTTAGCTGAAACAAAAAGCCTACTCGGAGGGAAATGAAAGGCCTGACTTTTGAAATCTAAGCATTCCTGTCCATCTGTCTTTTTTCAAATGGCCTCCATTTAAGCTCTTAAATGTGTTCTGAGTGCCCCTTCCACTAAGAATATTCTGGGTAATGTTATGATATTTCCCTCAGCTACAATTACCCTGGCTTCGGGACTAACAGCTTGAAATGCTATCGTCTGTGAGCCAGTAGAAATGTGAGTTACAGGCTTCTTGTAAATTGCAGGCCCCCAGTCTGCCCAAGAGATGGGCTCTTGCGTCTAATCAGGGTACCTTGAAGTGAACACCGCTTGGGTCGGGTCTTCCTGGCCTACAGGAAGGCAATGGCCGTCATCGAACTGTGGGAACGGTCCTGCGTGTGAGTGTGCTGCAGAGTCTCAGAGGGCCACCCGGGGAAGGAGGGAGTTCAGCTCCACACCCTCAGATTCGTATCCACTCCCCCGGCCAGCAGAAGAACCAAGCCTTGTTTATAGATAAATCATGGCGACAGCATCTTTTCACCTGGATCTTTGTCTCTGAGATCTGATGAGAGGCCTTTGTTGATTTGGTGTTTTTGTATTTTAGTGCTTAGGTGCCCCTCAGCATAAAAAGGCAGAAAGCTGCTCCATCTCTTGGTTTGGAGGAGCAGAACACCAGCAGATTCCCCTTTCTTCCTCTCCCGGGCTGTGAGGCTTCGGTCCACCAGCAACATCCACTTGGCACTGACTCAGGGCCGGGTACTGGGGACAAAGGCAGGCAGCACAGGCTCTCTTCTCTCAAAGGCCTCTTGCAATCGAGGGTGAGGGAAGAAGGGCAAGAATATGACAGGCATGAGGATCAACGTCTGTGTGAGAGGGAGTGGGAGGGAGGAGGGAGTGGTGGGTTCTGTTGCGGGGTGGGTGCAAGAATTCATTCTTTTTTATTTTTATTTTTTTACAACTGTGATTGGACAAGAAGAATTCATTCATTTTTTTTTTTTCTTTCCCCGAGATGGAGTCTTGCTCTGTCGCCCAGGCTGGAGTGCAGCAGTGCAATCTCGGCTCACTGCAACCTCCGCCTTCTCCTGCGATTCTCCTGCCTCAGCCTCCTGAGTAGCTGGGATTACAGGTGCACGCCACCACACCCAGCTATTATTTTGTATGTTTAGTAGAGATGGGGTTTCACCATGTTGGCCAGGCTGGTCTTGAACTCCTGACCTTGTGATCCTCCTGCCTCGGCCTCCCAAGGTGCTGGGATTACAGGCATGAGCCACTGCGCCTGGCCAGATTCATTCTTAAAAACATTTTTTTAAAAATGAGCGTGTAGTTGAGTGCCAGGCACTGTTCTAGGTGCTGAGCAACCCGAAGAGAAGATGACAGAAAAGGCTCTTGCCCCCTCATAGCTGAGGTTCTAGAGTGAGCTATCTACATTCACATTGATTTCGATTAGATAAAATTAAGAATTTAGTCACTTGGTCATACTGGTCACATTGTAAGTATTCATGCAGCCCCACATGGCTCGTGACTGGTTTTGGACAGCACAGATTGAGAACATCTCCAACGTCTCAGGAAGTTCTGTTGGGCATCCCCGTTTCAGAGGGAGGAGCAGCAGGCTACAAGAACCGACACGCCAGCCTGCGCTTGGCTTCGCAGGAGAACCGAGCCATCTATTGTGGGCGGCATGCCTGTCTTCCCAGCCATCTGGGGTCCCAGCTTGTTGACGGTTTCCTTCCCATGGTGTGCACGTGGTCCAGTGTGACCATGAAAACTGGCTGCTGGTCGTGGGGCCACAAGGGGTGTCTCATCCCATTCTTGCAAAGTCTCTACCAAAACTGCAATGAGCCGCAAAAAGTGGTCGGCTTGGAAAGAAGGATTTCCAAAGACTCCTTCTGCTTGGAGGTGATCAGGAGTGTAATGCCTGCCTGGAGACTCTTTGGGGACACCAAGCACAGCAACTCTTCCCTCACGTAGCTGTGAACCAGCCTCCGAGAAAGCTGCCTGCGGGTGGCTGGTGGAAGAGGCTGCCCAGCTTATTCTGGTTCCATGCTCCACGATCTACTGATGGAGGTGCCTGGTGGAGCATCACTTAACCAAGAAGAAAGATGTCTGTGCACAGAATTCGTTAAAACTGGGGTTTGGAAGATGATGAGCATGCTTCTTTTTTTCCTTAACATGCATTCCACATCACAGTAATGCGAATGAAGGTCTGTGGTCAGGAGGGGATGTGGAAAAGGCAGTGTGGGTCTCTGACAGTGGAAACACCGAGGCGTTTAGACCAAGAGTGTGAAGGACTTTTTCTGAATTCCATGTTGTCTTCTCTGTCTTTTCATTCCTCTTTCACCTTTTTAATTCTGCTACTTTCTCTGAACACTCGGCCCTCTGAACCCCACCTGCAGGAATTAATGAGTAGATCTTTCCCTTATAACCCCCTTTCCAGTTCTCTGTGTGATTAAATGCTTTCCTGATGTGGCAAAATACATTTCAAGAAATACAGCAAGTCTTTTGGGCTGCAGAAAGACTGGTTCTCATTACTTAGCAGTCTTTATATGTGTGCATAGCCCTTGGATGTTGGAAAAGCTATCCTCTGTTCACTGGAGAACCTGATCGCTCAGGTCTTCTAATGTAATCAGCGTTTCCCTGTGGAGCTGTGTCTCTTGCCTGCCTCTGTAACTGACAGCTCTCTTCTTAATGCTTACTGTGTAAGAAGGTCTTAAAGTTTGTCTAGAGCCTCCAGCAAGTCAGGGAGGAGAGTGGGCATCTGTTGAACTATAAGGTGGTGAACACATGGCCAGGCGCAGTGGCTCACACCTATAATCCCAGCACTTTGGGAGGCTGAGGCAGGCAGATCACTTGAGGCCAGGAGTTTGAGACCAGCCTGGCCAACACGGCCAAACTCCATCTCTACTAAAAATACAAAAATTAGCCGGGCCTGGTGGCTTGCACCTACTCAGGAGGCTGAGGCACGAGAATCGCTTGAACCCGGGAGGCGGAGGTTGTGGTGAGCCAAGATTGCGGCACTGTACTCCAGCCTGGGCGACAGAGCAAGGCTCTGTCTAAAAAAAAAAAAAAAGAATAAATAGGTGGTGAACACGAAACTGAGAAAGCGGGTAAGAAAGAACTAGCATTTGTTGAACACTGACAGTCTGGCAAGCTCTGGTCTGGGCGCTTGATCTGCTTGTCTCATTTCTCATGACAGCCCTGTGTGCAGAGCGAGTAGCAGCCGCATTTTACACAGGAGGAAAGTGAGGCTCAGGGAGTTGGGACACTTGCTGAGCGTTCACAGCCAGTGAGAGGTGGAGCACGGGCGTGTGTCCCAGTCTGCCTGCATCAGAGCCCTTGTCCAAACCTCCAGAAAGCCCTGTTTGTTGCCAGGACCCAGAAAAACCTTTGTTGGAGCTAGCAGCTTTGCCTCCGAGATTTCAGATAGCCAGAGCTCAGGCTCCCTGCTCACTGGCCATGTCTTCATGGAATGATTCATGGAATGTACTTTTCCTTCCTTCCCTCCAGGTCACCATGGAGTAACAAGTATGACCCTCCCTTGGAGGATGGGGCCATGCCGTCGGCTCGGCTGAGAAAGCTGGAGGTGGAAGCCAACAATGCCTTTGACCAGTATCGAGACCTGTGAGTCACTTTCTCCTGTTGTACTTTAGCTCTTGTGATTTTTGAGAGGTAAATCCTAAGTGGCAGTGTTCTATCTTGAATCTGTTACCTGGCCAGGCATTCTCCCTTGAGTCTGTTAACTGGCTCACCTAACTAAAATTGGGAGCCCTCCATAGCAGGATGCAGGGCACTCGTTTGGTGATTGGGTTAGTTATGAGATGACTCGGTCATAGAATGCTACCATACTTCACTATGTGTTGTTCCCCTGCATCATGATTCATCATAACAGCAGGTACCGCAGTACAGCGCCTACTGTGTGTAAGAGACAGTGCCAGGTATTTCTACATAGCATCTCAAGTCCTCACAAACATAGCTAGTTTAGTCCTCGTTTCTCAGATGAAGAAATTAAGACACAGATTAAAGTGTTTGTCCACAGTAAGGGGTAGAGCCAGGAATTAAAGTCAGGCCTGTTTATCTCCAAAGGCGCTTACGGATTTTTTGCCGTACCACAGGCTCAGTTCTGACCTGGAGCTCAGAGGCCTCCACTTCCAGCTGTTCCCAGGCCAGGACGAGCGCAGTCCTTACAGGGTGGGAGCAGAGCACCAAACATCTTCCTGAATCCTGAGTTGTTCGCGGCCTCGGCACCTGCCTTAAAAAGCGTTTTGCTAGATCTGTTGAGATTTCTTCCTGCTCCGTCTAATCCTGCCTCTCAGCACCGCAACACCAACATGTCACTTAATTGTTCAGGCTTACAAAGAAGGACTCCAGAGAAAGTTAGCCATAATCAACAGAATCTCTTTTATAATTAAGTTCTATACTGAAAATACATCTAAACTGTAAAATAGGCAATACTAATTCAAGTTGGCAGACTTTTTTCTGTGAAGAACCAGATATTAAACGTTTTAGACTTTGCAGGCCACATAAGGTCTCTGTTGCTGCTTCTTGGTTTGTTTTCTCTTTAACCTTTAAGATGTAAAATTCACCTCTTGAGCTTTGAGATGGGTAGGGCTTGGCCTCCAGTCTGTAGTTCGCCCACCCCTGGCCTAGGATGTAAGCAAGAAAATGGACATAAGAAAAGGAATCATCCGAACAGTGTCAGAAAGGTAGTGCTGCCCTACTTAGTGTGAGGGGTTCATGTCTTCACTTTGCAGTATTCGGAGTGGCTGTATAGTTCATGGCAGCTTGCTGTATCACATAAAGAATTTCTGGCAGGTACAGTAGCTCACACCTGTAATCCCAGCACTTTGGGAGGCCAAGGTGGGCACATGGCTTGCGCCCAGGAGTTTGAGACCAGCCTGGGCAACATGGTGAAACCCCATCTCTACGAAAAAAAAAATACAAAAATTCACTGGCTATGGTGGCATGCAACTGTAGTCTGAGCTACTTGGTAGGCTGAAGTGCGAGGACCACATGAGCCCAGGAGTTTGAGGCTGCAGTAGTAACTGTAAGGGCACCACTGCACTTCAGCCTGGGCGACAGAGTGAGATTCTGCCTCAAAAAAATTAAAAAGTTTCTTTTAGAAGCTGATTTTCGAGGAAAAGTGATACTTCTCAATATCTGACACACAAACAGAAAACCCATAGCACTTAGTAGAATGAAATACACAAGCACAGATCTACAGAAGACAGGAATAAATGGCCTTAAACATTTCAGTGTCCTTGAAATGCATCAGTTTGTAACACAACCTTATCTTCAGTATCTATTATGTACGAATATTTTATATACGTTACCTTTACTCCTTAACAAGAACCTCTGGGGAAGATGGTTTTGTTCCTCTTTTTACAAATGAGACCAAGGTTCCAAGAGGTTAAATGACTCACACAAGACCACAGGACATGGAGATGAAAAGCTGGGATTTGAACCCATATTTGTCTGAAATTCCCACAAATTGTTGATTTTCACAGTTAAAATAGGCTTCAGTCTTTAAAGGTTATTATATCTAGAACTTTGTCCTATTGTAGAATAGCTCCTTCCCCAGTGATACTGAAAAGCTGACTCATTGCTCTGTGGTAGTTTACTTGTCATTGTTTTTTACTGTCTTCTACCTGCCCATTTGGTAAGAAGCCAATCCAGCTATTAAACAAGAATGCCAGGTAGAATCAGTTTGATATTAAAGTGATACTACTGGTAATAAAATAACGATGGGGATAACAGTTACCAGTGGCCATGCCAGTGGGCCTCTAGGTGTTCTGTCATTCGGTCTTCACAAGAACCCATGAGAGAGGGCTATCCCCCTCTTACAAACGAGTTGACAGATCAGAAAGGTGATATAACTGACCCAGGTTCACGGAGCTAGTAAGTGATGAAACTGGGATATCAAACCATCCTGATCCAGCTCCAGAGTCCAACATCAGTTTATTTACTTAGCAGATGTTTGAGTGCCTCCCATGAGCCTGGTGCTCGCTGAGTACCAGGGATGCACCTCGTACGTGGTAGATGAGGCCCCTCACGACGCTCCATTGTGGAAAAACAAACAGTGGACAAGTGAACAAGTCAGTGCTGCTGGTGATAAGAGGGAGCAGCTGACTTGTTATGTAGAGCGGCCCATGAAGCCTCTTGAGGAGACACTTGACTGAGGTCTAACATCAAGGAAGCCAGCCAGGCAGCGGGGCTGGTCGTGGCAGGGTCTCTGAGGCGGGGGCGAACTCACCTGTCTAAGGCCCTGAGACGGGTGCCCCTTGATGTGCACACATAGCTGTCAACCAGTAAGTGCACACCCTCAGCCTCTTTTAAATTGCAAGTCGATTTGAAAGAGATTTGGGCAAAATTGGCCCCTTTTATAGCTTCGTAAGCTTCTCAGGAGCCATCTCAGGATACTCCAGGAATACAGCCTGCCTTTTCAGTCAAGTTTGAAGGTGGAAGTGGAATGTTCCCCCTTGAAAGTGTTTGCTAGATTTTCCCCCAGCTTAGGGAGCTAACCTGCCATGCATGCCATCGCCTAAGCCTGAGGAAGTTGCCTGGCCTCACCCCTTCTGTTCTTTGAGGAGGCTGTACTCTGGCTTTTTACTGGGCTACATGTTGAGATATGGAGGAGGGGGATTCTGATTTTTTTATGAGACTTAAGCGTTCATGTTGTTACTCCCTTAATAAAGTGATTCAGATGTGTTACCTTACTTTGCCATTTAGGACCAGCCTTGGGGAGGAGCCCAGTTTCATCTTGAACTTCTGCTTCCCTTCTTCTCCCTTCCCATCTCATCGTTCACATATGTAACAATACATGGTGTGTGCTTCTGCAGGGGCTTGGTTGGCCTGTTATCATGAGAATTTCCCTATTATCATTAAAACTCTTCAGAATAATCACTGAATCCTTACAGTGACTGTAGGACAAGTGGGAGTTACTCCATTTGGCAGCTGATGAAGCTGAGGCTCAGAGAAGTACTCAAGCTGGTTAACACAGCTAGAAAACCACAGGAGCCGGAAGCCATAGCTGAGGCCTCACTCTTCGTGCTGGCTCTGATGAAGCCTTTACCTTCCCTGGGAAATGTGTATTTGTAAGGTGGCTTTTGATTTCTGTGTGCCTTTGACTTGCCTACACACTCCTCTCTGAAGGTAAATTGACTCGGTGGAGTTGAAAGAGGGGTGACAAGACAGCATCCTGCGCCCAGTTGGGGGTTGAACTGGATAACCCAGACCCCGAGGGTCTGTGACAGTGTGTAGTGGGATCCAGGCCGGTGCCGTTCTGTTCCCAGCACCTCAGGAGGAAGGAGGAGAGGGGAGCACAAGGGCTCAGTGGCCCCGCAGGAGAGGCAGGAGGCCCTTCCTTCCCTTGCATGTGCAGGTGCAGTGGGGCCAGGCTTTTCTTGGGTGACAGGGATCGCAGACCACCAAAGGGACAGCAGTTGGAGCTGTCATCCAGGATACCAGAGGCATGAATTTTGAGTCACCCAGTGCCATTGGGGCGTGCTGAGGAGCTCTCTCTCCTGGGACCATATGCGAGGAACATTTTCCCGGCTGAACCACATGTGACGAACAAACCCATTTATAGTCTAAAAATTAAGAGAACAAGTCTCTTTTTTTTCTTTTTAAAAAACATCTTGGTGTATATTGCCCATCTCCAGAAGTTCCCATTCCCAGAGTGCCCCACGAGGCTGTTGGTGGCCATGTGAGTGACCACAGCAGGCCCTGGAGTGCAAGCTCTTTTCCCCATGGCTTTGGAGCAGAGGGGAGTCAGCTGGGTGGCCTTGTCTCCTGAGGGGCATTGGCCAGGGTCACACTGGGTTTTCTAGGGACCAGCTGTTCCGTAGGGTGGAGAGGCAGCCGGCCATCGCTTTCTCTTCATCTTTCGTCCAGCCCTTCCTCTTACAAATGCTTTCTCGCAGAAAGACTTGTTTGTTGTCCCCTGAGCGAGGCCACAGCTCTCCCACCTGTCTTCTGTTCAGGTTGGCAGATGGGTTCAGGCAAGGGTCACTCTGAGAGGAGACCTCTACCCAATGCTCCTGTCTGCTGGCTTGGTCACCCTGAACTGCTGCCTGAGGGGCCAGGAAAGTGGTCGGTGTCCCTGGCCTGGTGAGAGATGGCCGGAGCTTCAGCCAGACCCACCCTGCGAGGAGAAAAGGGGAGTGGCTGGAGAAGCCACCCCTTAAGAGCAGGTTGGGCCTGCCCTTGTGCCCAGGAGGACTGCATAGGTGCAGCTGCCACTTTCAGGCCACACACTTCAAGCTAGAGCTTAGCCTGCGCCCCTGGTGGTTGGGGGTTGGAAGAGCAGACTGTGTTGACAGGGTCTTTAATTCACAACGATTCCAGGTGTTTCTGAATTCTCGGATTCTGATGAATCAGTTAGGACTATGTTTGGCTTGCGCTCCAGCCTCATGACCACCAACCCCATCGAATGACTGAGAGCTACCAGGCTCCTGCCATGGTGGAGCTCAGAATCCTCTCGTGGGGACACCATGCTGCAGCCAGCTTCCAGGGAACCACTTATTTTATGGACTCAAAAGTCTCTTTATGCTGGGAAGGTCACACTGGACTTTGCTCACACAGAGATTTGACCCAAAAAAAAAGGAATAAAGAGGCCTCGGATA